CAAATATAAATTATTACAATATGTATAAATTTCGCACATATTGCATCAAAGAAAATAATAATTGCTTAACAAACACATACAAGTTGATTATAACGAACACAATGGCTTTCACAAACGTCCTTCAAAGTCTTATTCGTATCCTTGGACGCTTTGAGTTCTTCCAAAAGATCGTTGAGCTTAAAAGTCATTTCAATAATAACTGCTCAGCACTGGAAACTATCATATTTTGAAAAGTGAACAAAAGAGCGCAATGTAACTTTGGTAAAATGATTTCGACATGCCCACATCATTTGATCAACCTAGCATTTTCCTATCATAAGTTATCAATAAAACCCATTCATTTCACAAATTTCAACCGATAGTGGTTTTAAAACTTTTATCTTACTGGCAAGTTTTAGCATCACCTGACATTGCGCAGTTAATAATTTGATTTGCTGATGATAAGTTTTACCAAGCATCGATCATAATTAAAATTAATATCATGCCGGCATTAACTATTTGAGGATCATGTTTTGTAATACCGATATAATGTGAGCAAACCTTAGTCCGCAAAGCACAGATTTGATGATTCTGATCACTGAAATCGCGATCGTCCACTTCAAAGAATAACTGCCGAACAATTTGATCCTCACTTATAATTTTTTTCCGACATACAGGACAGTTACCCCAAGTCTATATTTCTTATAAAACGTTATTACAAAATCGAAATAAGAGGAAATTTTAAAATAACATTTAATTTGCGTTCCATATTACAAAACTTGTACCACATTTATAATGAATACAAATTTTTTCCACTAGTATTAAAGCAGGAGTGAAAATTCAGTAGTATGATGACTAAAATAAGACATCCCGAGACTCTAAAATGAAGTTTGATGCACTGCATACACATTACTACTATTCGATTTTATTATCATGCTTTGATATACTGCTACTTTTATTTTATAAAAAGGGACGGTTTCTCTAGTGTTTTTCTGAAGAGACATGGATAAATGTAAACAAAATGAAATGAATGCCTACAGAAAGCAGTTGACTTGCAAAACTAAAAAGAAAAGTAAGAGTAAATAAATTTAGCGCACTTGCACAGCGAGATCACAGGTAAAGGAATGAATGGATAAAATGAGAAAGCAGGAATTAACTGCTCACCTTAATCCAGCTAACAATACAGTACGGGTGAAACAGATGGCCACAGCTGAGTGCAGAAATTTCATTTAGTTTAATGCACTCCAAGCAAATGGAGCATTCAGGCCGTTGGAGAGCTCCGTTCATTTCACTCTTCCGTATTAGAAACACGCGAATATACTAAAACAACTCTATGATGCTTTTTAACAGATAGCAATTTATGTTTACCATAAAGCACATACAAAAACAACCTATTCTAACTCAAGACTACAATAAACCGACCGCACACAAACTGACACATTGCTACAACTAATTCGTTTCATACTGATAATACGGACCACCGAAATAAAGCACAGTTACAGCACAAAACCGAGTCATTACACGTAAATGCAATACGATGGAAAAGCAGTCAAGTGGGGGCGCAGATGTGAAATCTTGACAAGATTTATTCCTCAAATGAAGTACTAATATTTATGCACTTTATTTTTATGTAATGACTGGGCAATCACTCCAATTTAGGGTTAAAACCACTTTTGTGTTCACGTCCCTCCCACTTAATAGCTAAATTTCATCACCGTTCTCAGAAACAGTCGTCTAGACAGGCAGATGAGTCA